CCCAGAGCATCTCCAGCTCCTAAAACCATCCCAGAGCATCTCCAGCTCAGCCCAGAGCATCTCCAGCTCCTAAAACCCTCCCATAATTCCCACATTATACCCCATTCCTGGTTTCTGTAATTCCCACATTATACCCCATTCCTGGTTTCTGTAATTCCCACATTATACCCCATTCCTGGTTTCTGGAATTCCCACATTATATCCCATTCTTGGTTTCCATAATTGCCACATTATACCCCATTCCTGGTTTCCATATTTCCCACATTATACCCCATTCCTGGTTTCTGGAATTCCCACATTTTGCCGCAGTCCAAAGTCCTCCCATAATTCCCAGATTTTGCCCAGTTCCTGGTTTCCAGAATTCCCAGATTTTGCCCCATTCCAAAGCCCTCCCATAATTCCCACATTTTGCCCTATTTCCATGACCTGCTCCAGTAATTCCCATATCTTGTCTTATTCCAAAGTCCTCCCATAATTCCCAGATTTTGCCCAATTCCAAAGCCTTCCTGTAATTCCCACATTTTGCGCAATTCCAGTAATTCCCAGATTTTGCCTCATTCCAAAGCCCTCCCATAATTCCCAGATTTTGCCCCATTCTTGGTTTCTGGAATTCACACATTTTGCTCCATTCCAAAGCCTTCCCATATTTCTCCCCATTCCAAAGCCCTTCCAAAATTCCCAGATTTGCCCAATCCCAAAGCCCTCCCATAATTCCCACATTTTGCCCCATTCCAAAGCCCTCCCATAATTCCCAGACCCTCCCCATAATTCCCAGATTTTGCCCCATTCCTGGTTTCCACAATTCCCTCAGGAAATTTTAGCTTTAGCTTTGGTTTTAGGCTAGGATTCTCAAAATTAAACTCTTCTTGCCCCGGAGTTTGAAACCTCAAACCTTTTTTTTTTAAAAAAAAAAATCCTCTGTTTTTAAGGCATAACATGAATCCATGGATTTTTGGGATCATCCTCTCGGGACAAATCCCAGCCCTGGAGCTCCCCCCAATCCTCACATTGCAATGGGGGGCTGTGGGAGCTCTGTCCCCAGATGCCACCCCCAGGGTCAGGCGGACAAGGGGACAATCCCAGCCTGGGGACACCAGGATCCCTCAGTGGTGGCTCAGCCCACAATCCCAGTGTGGGATGGGGAATGGGAACTATGGGGACACGGGAATCATGTCCAGGAGGGGACAGTGACATCCTGGTGACATCCAGCTGCTCCGTGCCCGGATGTTTCTCCTGTTTTGTCCCAAAATCACAGAATCCACCAGGAAAACTCCCAGGGGACAAGGGGACAATCCCAGCCCAGGGACGCTGGGATCCCTCAGTGGTGGCTCAGCCCATAATCCCGGTGTGGGATGGGGATTGGGAACTATGGGGACAAGGGAATCCCATACAGTGACGCCCCAGCCATGGGTGACATCCAGCTGGTGACATCCTGGTGACATCCAGCTGGTACCATCCTGGGGACATCCAGCTGCTCCGTGCCCGGATGTTTCTCCTGCTTTGTCCCAAAATCACAGAATCCCCCAGAAAAACTCCTCCACCCAGGGGACAAAGGGACAATCCCACTCTGGGGACACCTCAGTGGTGGCTCAGCCACCCAGTGTGGGATGAGGAATAGGAATTATGGGGACATGGGATGTGCTGGTGACACTGGAATCCCGCACAGGAGGGGGACAGTGACACCTCTGGCCCAGGAGACATCTGGACCCCCGTGTCACCAGGAGCGGGGTTGGGTGACACCGGGACAGTTCCCATCCTCTGGAGGTGCAGGGGTGGGCACCGGGAGCTGGCACAGCCCGAGGGACACAAGGGACACAACCCCAGGGGTGACAGCAGGGCTGGCACAGAACCTGGCACAGCCCGAGGGACACAAGGGACTGTGTGTGCCACCAGGGGGTGCCACCAGAGCTGGCACAGAACCCGTCCCCAGGAGCTGGTACGGCACAGGGGACACAAGGGACATAACCCCAGGGGGTGGCATGGGTGACAGCAGGGCTGGCACAGGACCTGGCATGGCCCAGGGGACACAAGGGACTGTGTGTGCCACCAGGGAGTGCCACCAGAGCTGGCACAGGACCTGTCCCTGGGCACTGAGGGACCCTGGAAGTGACCCTGGAATTGGGGCTGGGGCCAGAGATGGATGACAAGGCCAGGAGGAGCCCTGGGAGAGGAGGAGGGGTGGCTGTGGGGGCTGTGTCACTTTGGAATGGGTGACAGTGACATGGTGACATCCGTGAGGATTAGGGCAGGGGGAGTGGGGTCACACTGCCAGAGAGGGGGGATAAATGGGATTTTGGGATGAATTCCTGGCTGGGAGGGTGGGGAGGGGCTGGGATGGATTTCCAGAGTGGCTGGGGCTGTCCCTGGAGCACCTGAAAACCGTTTAAAAACCCAATTCTGCCGGGAAAAAGGGGTTTGGGATCAGCCTGGGGGCCCTGGGACAGCAGGGAAAGGATTCCCATGGACACAGGGGTAATGGGGAGATAATTAATTGGGATTTTGGGGAGATAATTAATTGGGATTTTG